CAAAAAGCGGGAAGACCTGTCAGCGTTGGGACGCCGAAAAACCCCACAAACACATGTTCTGGCTGGAATTATTTCCTGAGCTGACAGAGAACTACTGCCGCAATCCCAGTCCCGAGAGCAAATACAGCGTGTGGTGCTTCACTACGGACCCTAGCACCGTGTGGGAGTACTGCATCAACCCTGCGTGCCCAATGGGGAAAAGAGGTATTGGTAAGGTCCCCTTAATCTACTTTTCAGACTGTGTACACTCTGTGACATCCCCTAACAATACTGTACAACAAAAACTCTCTGTGGTATCTGGTCCTAATAAAAACATAAATTTCATATAGACATGGCGTGCTGAAGTTACACAACAGCTGTTATCATTTAAACAGGCACAGGCTGACAGTTCTGTGGACTATACACCGGACTGTAAGGTCTGAACCACTGACACTAGGAAGGTCCAGTGTTCTCGCCAGGCCTTTTGAGCATAGCGGGCCGCTATGCTGTGAATTTGTTCCGCTACGCTGTAATTTTGCCGCTATGCTGTGTTTCCGACCAGCGTAGCGGGATTTTCAGTTGATTTTTACCCTTTTGATCTCGGCTACCGTCGCAATAATCCTTGCTTTAAACTTGATAAAAATAATGTCTTTTCTCTCGGCACAATGAACATCTCATAGAACGCAGTTTCAAGTAACAAAGAAGTGATTCACAACCTTCTGTGAGTTAATTAATCAAACCCCACAAATTGGCGGCGATAGACGGGCGTGACACAGGGCGTGAGATTCAGATCAGGCCGCCAGGAGCGGCTCGGGAGCGGTGCGCTAAGTTTTGCCTGTACGTTCAAGCTCAATACTCGGAAACAAACATTATCACTAACATCAGTACCTAGTCTTTGAGATTTCCTATCAATTACACCTAAAAACTAGCAGAAATACCCAAATTTTTGAGATAAACAAGGGCCGAAGTGAGGACTTCAAGTACCGACCTGCTGCCCTCCCCTCATGCTTGACGGGCGTAAATAAAGATCTAATTCCAGAAACCTGGGTGCCATTATGTACGCCACTCAACAGCATACATCCTTTATTGTTGTCCAAACTTGTCAATTTTTTTGGCTGGATCGTCTTGCATGGAGAAATTTACCGAAAAATTAAACTGACAGCGCTAACTAGACTGGGACTTAGCGGCCAGCGGCATGCTTTGGATAAGTTCATTTCAAGGGACCACGATGTCTCAAATCTACTGTTGTCTACCTTTCAACATCTGTCAATACAATTTTAAATTCAAAATCTAAGAATTAACAAATAAGTATGCCATGTTGTTCCTGCACAATATCGTATTTTTTCATCATTTGACAAGGGTTTGAAGTATTTCCAAGAAACTTTCCCCCTGTTTACAGAATAGACTCTTCCAAGATGGGGCGCACGCAACACGTTAGAAATTGACACAGCTGCACAGAAGCCAGTTTTTACGGTGTTTTCCCTCAGAATGTTCTTGATTTCGTCGGTGATATAGCTCATTATCAAGTAATTCTACCATTTTACCAATATAATTTACCAATGCCACGGGGAAGAACCAAAGAACCTCTTGTTGGCTACCGACGTTGTGTTGACAGAAGAAACCCTTTGAACTGTGCCGAGGCTTGGGCTAATTTTGATGTTGCAAAGTTAAAATATCAGAGCAAATTCTAAAACACGATACAAGTGTACTCCAGTAGTTTCCTTTTTGAAGCATTTATAAATATTAGTCTATACAGTGTCTGAGTATTTTGCCCAAGACCTGTACCAAGCATAAGACAAGTAACTCCATTTATTATGACCCTTCATGAATTTGGAAATAAATTTTGGATTTGAACCTTTAAAAAAAGCTGTAACAAAGATGAAAACTTTTTCAAAATTTGACCCTCAAAATGCAGGAAATGGCCAGGTGTTTCAGAGGGTTATATATTTCAAAATTTTCCGGGGGAGGATGCCCCCGGACCCCCCTACATTACTCGCGCCTCCGGCGCTCGCCCTCGCGCCTTCGGCGCTCGATGTGTGGGTTGGCCCGCAACCTGGCCCCCTATGCTGTGAAAAAATCCTGGTGAGAACACTGAGGTCCCTTACTCTTTTTCGATAAGTGCAGTGGGTTCTTTAATGTGCGTGGGGTGTGGCTCTCCCTAAACACGGGACCTCCATTTAACGTCCTATCCGAGGGACATCCCTAGCCGAAGCTATAGCTAGGTACTCATTTACACCTGTGTGAAGTAAGGAAAGTCATGTAAAGTACCTTTCCCAAGGGCACAAGATCGGTGACACCAGGCAGGATTCGAACCCTCGCCCTCTCGAGTCTGGGCCGAAGACACTACCACTACGCCACACGACCCCACACTTAGTCTACTTTCAGTAAGGGAAGGGTATCCGGATCCTGTACTGTACATTCAATATACAATTATTGTGACACCACCTATCTCTTTCTTGTAGCGTGCTGTTCGTGTGATATCTGAAAGTTTCAGCTGTCATTGTGAACATCATGTGTTATATGCTTCCCTGGGGTTTGGAATCTCTGATTTCTTGTTGTCTTTGTTCTACCAACAGGCTGTCTACAGGTCCAGGTGAAAGATCGTGTGAAGTGTGGTGATGAGAACATGACTAAACCGGAATGTGAGGAGAAGGGTTGCTGCCATGACACGTCTGATTTTGATGCTCCCTGGTGCTTCTTTGGGACAGACAAGTGAATTGTCCCAATTTTGTAATGACAAGGCCACACCAATTTAATTTCCTGGTTCTTGGATTCGCCTTTGGTTTCTCATTTTTTTCTGATTTGCCAAAAAAAGATTCTGGTACTGAATCAACTCAAATATGCTCATATTTTGCTCCCAACAGTAATTGAGGAAAGTCGTTTTCTTCCTACTTGTTTCAGTTTTTCCATCCATCAATGCAGTGGATTGTTTTCCATCTATCAATGCCATGGCAAGTTCAAAATTCATTGTTTATATTATATTAACCCAGCCTTTTGTGTTGACTTCATGGCTCCTATCATAGCATTTGGGGCTATCATAGTATGCCCAAGTCTGTTTTTATTTTTTTTTCACCCTGGCGCTTCATATTTTTTTCTGAAAAAATTCAAGAACAAACAAATTTAATTGTTGTGGCCTAAAGTCGGTTTTGTGATATTGTAACTGTTAACTTTTTCAACAATTTTTAATACCTACTAAATTAATACAGTCATGTACCATAAATACATGTAATTGTACTTCTTGTAGATGGGCAAATTTCTGGGAGATTGCAAACTGAGATACATGTGCACATAACTGTTAACTTTATCAACTATTTCTAATACCTACTAAATACAATCATGTACCATAAATGATTGTATTCTGATTTCTTGTAGATCAGGTGAAATTTCTGGGAGATTGTGTAACTGTTAAGTTTATCAACTATTCCTAATTACATATATTTAGTACAGTTATGTATGATAAATGATTGCAAAGCGGATTGCATATCTTGTATTATTTTAAAATTTGCATGGTTGAAGATACAGCTAAGGCTGTCCAACTAGCACGGGGCTTGATTGTACATTGTATGGTTGAGTTTGAAAGTATCAGTTTGCTGACATAGAGCTAAATAATACATTAATTTGGAAAAATTTCTGGACTATGAAAACTGCCGACATTAAATGAATTTTATCTATCAAATTAAACTGTTACAACATCGCAAGCTAAAACAGCCTGAATTGTGTTGATATTCATACTTTACAGCTACCTGTAACATATATAATACTAATCATAATGTTTTTAGCATTCAAAAATTGACAAAGATCTCGATATACATCATAAATCGTCGAGACACAAGATACAGTGGAAGAAGATAAAGAAAGACTGAATCACTAATAGGAGATAGAGATGAGCAGAGAAGAAGAACCCAAATTGCCTCCCGTGTTCCTTGATGTCCCCAGTTCAAGGTTCAAGTATCTAATGTCATTTCACAGCAGATTATGAGGAAACGGGAAGATCAGCTCAAACATGTTCAAAAAATGTAGGCTGTCATTGATGTGTTTTTTGAACTCTGATGGTGTGGATGATTTGATGTGTTGTGGGAAAATGTTTTATAATTTTATGCACCTGTACAAGAATGTCCTGATATAAGTTGTTTTAGAATCTCCCATATTTGGTCAAGAAAGTACATAGTAAAGAAATTAATAATTGTTGTCTCTTCATAGACATTACCAAGAAAAAAAATCAGATTGCTCAAAATCTTTCAAAACAAAAACAAGACAGTTCTAGAAAATTCAAGAATGTCACTCTTAGTAAAATGGATCTTATAAGAACAAAAGAGAATCTCCAGAATAAAGATCAGGGTACATCTTAAAATACTCCATTTGATCTCAAGAAACAAATATTTTAAGGCTAAAAAAGAAAGTTTTCCTTAATTTTCTTGAAAATGAGCATCATACTAGTCTTACATCTATAAATATTTTCTTCACTGAAGAAAAAAAAGGATATAACTCTTTGTGTAAGAATTTACACATACATGTATTTTGTGGGAGCTTTCTTGATTTTTCTAAATGAAGTTCTAGGTTTTGGTAGTCTAAAGCCTCCTGCCTGGGGAAGATGGGTGTTGTGTTAATGTACTTATTATTACTGTAGATTGGCTGACATTTGCTTTGGAGCAAATGTAGCGGATGGCTAAATCACCACATTTTATGACATATGGCAGGGAAAGAAGGAGAAACACAAGGGAAAAAAATTCTTTACATTTATACTATAGTATGATTTAGTGACAACAGTTGGTTAGCTATCCCCTACATTATTAGTAAGGATTTTTAATTGCATAATGCAAACTGTTGATTTTCAAGATAAAAAAGAAGCGTTTATGACCCGCATTCCAATGCTGGAGCAGGAAAGCTTGACATACCTACCAAAACACTTGAATGCAGGTCATACTGTCAATATGGCATGGCTTTGTACAGGTGTTAATTGAGTTAACCCCGGCAATCAAATCCCACATAGTGGTGAAGCCATAACTACAGTACATACTCACAGTTTCATCGTCTGCAGCTGAGGCCAGATACAGACTGTCCATGGAGAAGGCCAGTGCCTTGACCCATCCCGTGTGTCCCTCTAACACAAACAGGAGCGTACTGGTGTCAGGGTTCCACAGACGAACTGTCTTGTCCCAGGAACCACTCGCCTGCATGGGGACAGGAATTACAAACTTACACTCAAATCATTCTCAAAGGGCCCGAACTTAATTAGATCTGGAAGGGGAGCAAACCTGTCCAAGCCAGCAACCCAGGGGCCTGAAGAAAATCGGTCACCTTGGATAGGTGGTCTCCTTGAAGAGGGTCATCTCACAACATGACTGAGACATAAATGGTTTCCAAGTCGAGATGTTTTAATGTCAAATGCTGTAAGCATCTTCAGTTCTGTGGTGAATGCATGTGGGGAGGGTGGCACATGGAACAATTTACATCAAACAAAACATCAAGGCAAACTGTCTGGTTTCTCCATGATTTCTTCCTATACCTTAACATCAATAATCAACACGATCCAAAATTACTTGGTCGCCACGGGCAGTTGAGCGGACCCTGGAACTCAGGGCGGTCGCGTTGGCCAGGTGGTCACCTTGGACGGGTTGCTTAATGCTTGCATCAATGGGGAAAATTTTTGTGACCAAGAAAAAGCGGCCACCATGGTATGAAACTGTATATACCAACCATATGAAAAACATAATTACATGTACATACAGTGCATCATTTAAAGAACAAAAATCAGACGGGCCAGAACACCCACATTTAAATTATTGTGACCCAGGCACATGTTTGAACATGATGTAACTATGTTACTTACCAGGAAGCCAACTCTAGAGAACACCACAGCGTGCACATTACTGGTGTGACCTCGTAGGATCTTCACTTTCTCATCTGCAATGGGGCTGACAGGCCACACCCTCACTGTGTAGTCCCACGAACCTGTTGCCTGACAGAAAATCACACACATATTACACCCAGTTATCATGAAATCAACAGTAACAATTACAGAGTACAGAACTTGATTAACTTTTCGTGCATTTTCCACATGCAGTTTTATTTCATTTGTTAAAACACTATAATTATCATATAGCCGGGTGACGTTGACCAATCAGAAGGCTCCATTTCACATTCCGTATGACGCCGTAATGTCACATTCAAATAGAGTCAAAATCGGGTCATTATTCATCCCAATCCATACATTAAACAATCCAATAATCACCCGCATATGACCTCAGGTGACCCAAAAAGAACACGGCTCTGTTCCAAAAATTATTCACCTCGGGGCGGGTCATTAACTCGCAATTAAAAAGTGTGTAAAAGCCCTGTAGAACGCCATTAAAACTAGTCCAAAAGCCAATTGTAAACATCATCAAAATTCCTGTGCTTCTACTGAATTTAAATATACAAGCAGCTACATGTATATGGGCATAAAGGAAAACAAACAAACAAACACAGACAAACTGAAATCCTCTGAGCACGGAAGTAATTGTACTACTACTACTAGTTGGAATTAATTATATAACACTACAAAAGATATTATAAGTATAATTATCCACTTACCACATGCTTGTCCTTGTAGTCAAAGTCACATGACTGCACCAGACTGCTGTGTCCACTTAATATTCTCAAAACACAGCCTTGCTGAGGGAAAACATTCACACATAAACAATAATTTAATGTCTAGTATGTTAAATAAATGAATTATGCTATGTTATCAGTAATAAATATAGTGGCATCATGTGGAGTAGTGGGCCAGAATCAAGAGGTTCTGGGTTCGGACCCATAGTTGTGCCCTTGGGAAAGGCACTTAACACGACTTTCCTCACTTCAATAAGGTGTAAGTTCAGCAGTGCACCTAGCTTCAACTACGTAGATGCATCCCTTGGATAGGATGTTAGAAATGCAAAATTTATTATATCATTATATAGTATATTTTCATGTTTGTCAAAGCAAGGAGTTCATCAAAGAGGATAAAGTGTTTATATCATTGTATCCTGTATCCTTTCCTATGTTCATAGCTACATGAAAACAGGCTGTCATACCTGCACATCCCACATGATGGCGCTGCAGTCCCATGACCCAGAACACAGTTTTGTACAGTCAGGAGAGAAGACAACCGTCTCCACACTCTTGGTGTGGCCTGGGGAAAACAGTTCAGTTCAAAATGGTCTTTTATTCGGTTTTTTCAGATATTAATTACAGGAAATACACAAACTTATCATTACCGAGAACAAATAAAAATGGTCAACTTTCTTTTTGCTACACCTGCTGCCATTGGGTACGTACTATCCATTTCACTTTATCACGAAAAATATACAGTACAGGGCTGGAAATACTGGGCGCATGTGCACCTTAGTGCACCCAAAATTGGAGCTGTGCACCCAATTTTTTTCTGTGGGTGCACCAATGCACCAAAATATTTTCTTAGCTTTAACGTATGTAAATACATGAACATGTATGTTAAATGTATAGTAGTTACAGCATATTCTTAACATCTAAGGCCACACCAATTTAATTTGTTGGTTCTCGGATTCGCCTCTTCATTTTTTTCTGATTTGCAAAAAAAAAAAAAAATTTGATTCTGGTCCTGAATCAACTGAAAAATGCTTATGTTTTGCCCTGAACAGTTGAGGAAATTCCTTTTCTTCCTAGTTGTTACAGTTTTCCCATCTATCATTGCAGTGGTATGATTAAAAGTTCAAAATTCAATGTTTAAATTTTAACTCAGCCTTTTGTGTTGACTTCATGGCTCATTTCATAGCATTTAAGCCTATAATAGGATGCCTTACACCTGTTTTTATTTTTTATTTTTTTCGCCCTGTCGCTTCATATTTTTTCTGAAAAAATCCGAGAACCAACAAATTAAATTGGTGTGGCCTAAGTGTCAGAAAAAATTATACAATCATTCTTACAGTACTTTTCTTGAAATGAAACATCACAATTATAGCTTTTGTTGACATTCCACCTATTCTATCTTATGTACATGTGGTGCACCTAAAATATTTTTGTGCACCCAAAAATGAATTTCGAGCCCTGTACAGTATATTTTGCATTTTCAGGTACAGAAATAAAATTGGACACACCAGTGTGTCATTTTGAGAACTGTTGTAAGTGAATATTTTGTACACCAGGGCTCTAGCCAGAACCATTTTTCAGTCCATTGCAGGAATTTTGTAGCGTGTGACAGAAAAATTTTTAAACCAATCCGTCAACCTTGACAGACAATATTGACAAAAATCTTGAGTAAAAATATAAAAATATCCAAAGGACCAACAACGACCACTCTCATCCCCATGATTTGCCTTTCAAAATGTGGGACATTGCATTTTTATTTTAAAGGCTTGAATACCTAAACATTGTGACTGGAATCCCCTAGATTGCGAGCACTCTCCCCCCCAGTCCGATCATAAACCTGGGTTGACAGAAAAAAATTTGGATCTGGCTACTACAGCCCTGCTGTATATATACACTCATCTCATCTTTTCAAAATGGGCTTGGTCGGTGAGCAAGTCAATATGCAGTTTTCATGAACAAATAAAGTCAGAAACCAGTGTACATTAAATACCATTTTGAACCAGGTTTACCAGTGGGCAACCTACGGCAAAAATTAGGTTGCCCATCAGAATTTTAGTTTGCCCCACCACCTATACTAAATTCCTCAAATTAAGTAATGTTACATACTAGTATTTCTAACAGCCTTAACATAACTTTTACTTGTAATAGCCATTAATACCTAAAATTAGAAAGCATTTGCAGGCTACAGTGGTGCAAGCCAAGTGGGCATGATTTCGTGTGTGTGTGTGGGGGGGGGCATTCTTAAAATTCAGGTAGCACATACACTGGGCAACCTAGGTTCAAAAATACCTGTTGCCCCAAGGAAAATTTGGTTGCCCGGGGCAACTGGGCAACCATGTATTTTGTACGTTGGAAACAAATGAATAAAAGAATTAAACAAAACAAACAACAATAAGAGTACATGGCCTGACCTTGTAGCACATGTATACAGTCCCCTGTCCTGGTCTGCCACACCCTCACTGTGCTGTCATAAGAAGCTGTGGCAAACAACTTGCTGTCACTTGATAAGGCACAGCTCTTCACAGCACCTATACATGTACGTGGAGACAAGATGCTTCAGTTAATGCTGCATAGGCCTGGGGAAAATATTGTGTTTCCTGTTTCCCGACCAACCCTAGTACAAAAGACTACCGACCCTAGCCTTTTTTTAGGGTGGACCCCTGCTACCTTTTCTAGCTACATAATAAGACACCTGAGTGGTTTTCCAATATTGACATTGAAAATATAAATTTAAGTATGCTCATGAATGCATGCTTAAGTTTTACTTACTTATTAAACTGTATTGTATAAGTTGGGTCACAAGAGATTGCCATTTAGGTCTAAGGCCACACCAATTTAATTTCTTGGTTAACGGATTCGCCCGCTTCATTTTTTTCTGATTTGCAAATAAAAATAAAAAGTTTGAATCAACTGCAAAATGCTCATATTTTCCCCTGAACAGTTGAAAACAGTCCTTTTCTTCCTAGTTGTTACAGTTATTCCATCTTTCAATCCAATGGTATCATTAAAAGTTCAAAATTCATTGTTTAAATTTTGAACCAGCCTGGTATGTTGACTTCATGGCTCCTATCGTACCATTTTGGGCCATAATACTAATAGGATGCCTAGGCCTGTTTTTTTTTTTTTTCGCCCGCTAGCTCCATTATTTTTCTAGAAAAATCCATTAACCAAGAAATCAAATTGGGGTGGCCTAATAAAGAAAAAAAAGTGGTAGACTAGAAGTACCCTAGGTACTGACTAGGATCCTCCCCCTGACCTACCTTGGTGCCCCCGGAGTTTACAGACCATCCTGGTAGTGAGGGTGTTCCAGACTCGGACCAGACAGTCATCTGACCCTGTCACCATCATCTCCCAGTCTGGGGAGAATGCACAGCAGTTCACCTGCAAAAATCACACATTAAAATCCATTAAGAATATACTAAAAGTACTAACTATACTTAGGCCTAGAGAACAAAATGTTGTGTTTTCTGTTTCCTAAATGACCCTAGAAAAAAATGCAGACCCTAGCTATAGGTCTTTTTTTGTGTAGACCCCTGCAAGGGGCATACAGACTGTATCAAATTTTTCGCACTGATTTACCTTTTCTTGCTAGATCTGACAACTGAGTGATAAAACATTGTACAATCAATTTTCCAACATTGACATTGAAAATATAACGTAAGTGTCCTCGTGCAAGTTTTACTTTGTTAAACTGTATTCATTGTATAGTTGGATCACTAGTTTAAGATCGCCAAAGTCTAATAAAGATAATAAATCCCTAACCTCCCGTCCCTAATTTTTCAGGACTAAAACAGGAAAGACGGAGAGTAAGGAAAGTCCTTTTCTAAATAGTTGTACAATTTATCAATACAGTGGGTTTGATTAAAAGTTCAAAATTTTTAATTTCCACTGGAGAAGTAAATAAATATATAAAAATTACTTCATCAAAGTGAATCATCTTGCCTTAGGAGAAAAATGTCGTCTTTCCTGTTTTAGTCCTGAAAAATTAGGGACGGGAGGTTAGGGATTTATTATCTTTATTAGACTTTGGCGATCTTAAACTAGTGATCCAACTATACAATGAACTAGTAAGAAAAGGACTTTCCTTAACTGTTGGGGCCAAAATATGCGCATCAGTTGATTCAGAACCAGAAACTTTTTTTTCAAATCAGGAAATAAAATGAAGAGGGGAATCCGAGAACCAACAAATATATTGGTGTGGCCAGTGGCCTCCATTATATTTTATGGTTCAAATTTAACCAAAACACAAATTATTTTCTGTAAAGAATCACGGAAACCCACACCAACACATGGAGAAAATTCATCCAATGGTGTACTTACAAGACAGAACGACGTATCATGATTTAAACCTGCAAAACGGACAAGTTGATACCATATTTTTACCACATACAAATGTACGCCCCCCTCCCCCTCGAAACTTTCCGGTGGTCATAGTTACAGTATTAAACTCAAAGTTCACCACCACAAAATTAACATGGACACAAGCCACTCACCTCATCTTTGTGGCCCGAGAACTCCTTCAAGTTCACATGGGAATAATTTTCGTCGTCAAACATGTTGTAACATGGAGGTTTTTAATATATCCTCCCGGGTTGGAAGAAGAAGACTTGTTGCTCGAAAACAGGCGGGACTTCGCTACTGTTTACGTCGAAAGTTTGCAGTAACGACACCTGGCGGTTGATATATGAAGTGCAGGACACCCGCATATACATGTAACGTTACATGTATCTGAACTTTCACTGGTTTAGAAATATTGCATCTGAACTTTTACTGTTTTAAAACTAAGAAATCCTGATAACTTCTGTCCCCTTTTTCTGCCCCATCTTTTAATCCAAATCATATCATCCAAAGTCAGGGTAGCTTTAGCCTTTAGGCCTACCAAATACGCGTATCTCCGGTTTCGCGCCCCCATTTTAGGTCAAAGGTCAATAGGGGCAAAACAAGCCGTCAAGGCGGCACAACACAGTTTGTTTGTATATAGTTAAGGACCCCAAAGTGACTCACTTCGACTCACGGAAAATCATACTAGGGTGCACAAGCAAGGTTCAGAATTTTAATATGTTTAATTTCAGGGTATAGTGTACAAAATATGTGAAAATGAGCTTAAATTTGCCGGCTAGTTCTCTTCTCGCGCCCTCTTTATTAGCGCCACTGCGGAGGTCATGGAACTGCAGCCGACTCACAGTACTAGGCGGGACAAGTATCCAAGCGCAAATCTACGCCGACTAAACAGTTTACACGCACCATAATCCAACTTTTACAGTCTCAAAACTGACGTATTCCTCTAACATTTACCACAGGTTCTGTCTCTATGCCATGCACAAAACAATCTCTGCACCCTTCTCTAGTATTGTGCAGCACTACTTTGTGCCCGGACTACTTTTGGGGTTCGCCCATGAATACTGTGTTGTGCGGCCTCAACTGTGAATTTTCGCGGGCCATTTTCGCGCCACTGGGTTTTCTGTCATAAACGGACGAGTCGTTCTGACAGATCGCACCGTCGTCGGTAAGTTATCGATATATCTTTAGTTTTTCTCGGTGCTGTTGGTATTTTAAGCTCTAAACTACTGCCGTATTTTTCTTTTGGGCTAATATTTTCGCATATACTAGTATTTAAATACGTGCGAGCAAGGAGTGTACGTATGTGAGCACCCTCCCCTCCCCCCTCCCCTCCGGCCGCATCGTAGGCGAGATGTCGGGTTTGGCCCAGTATTGAATAGATGCAGATGTAGATACGTATACTGCAGTCTCAGGACTCGAAGATACAAGTACTATTTCTTACATGCATGACTTCTTTCGCTCAATACTGAGTCTGACTCACATCGCCGCATGAACATCCTTATGTATAATTTGGACATTATTTTATTGTGAAAAGATCAGATGGTCGTATTATGATCACTTTCCTGTATTCCTGTACAGTCAAGTTCAAGTGAAAATAACGACAGTAACAATACAAACAGGGTTATAGCAGCTCCATTTAGTCCACCAACAGTCAAGCAATAATTACTATCATAAGTAGTAGAAATAATTTTGGTTCCATTATATATATATATGGGACATATTGGTATATCTGTCAGAAACACTTTTATCAAGATAACGATCATCTTAGGCCACACCAATTTAATTTGTTGGTTCTCGGATTTTTTCAGAAAAAATATGAAGCGACAGGGCGAAAAAAAATAAAAATAAAAACAGGTCTAGGCATCCTATTATAGGCTTAAATGCTATGGAAT